GAAAAATGAGCTCCCAGCTCCTCCTCATGGGGCCCATTCCATGTTCACCTCACATCCAGGTGAGTTTTGGGTGGATGTTTGTTAGCTGCCAGAAGAACATGGTGTTAGTAATGCCAAGGTCTGGGTTAATCTCCAAGAGCTGCACTCCATGATCCTTGGGGGTCCCTTCCAGCTCAGAATGTCCTGGGATCTTTGTGGAGCTCAAACTTGGACACTCATGCCTGAACAGCTTCTCCTTCCATAGTGAAGACAGAGCATTCCAAAGGTGAGGTTATCCCCATTTCCTGATCCTCACAGCCATCCCTGCCCGACCCAGAACACTCCAGGGGTATTCACACCTTTGGGTGAAATGACAGAAGAGAATCCAAAGCCTCCTGTAAAGCCCATTTAATCCCTGGCCATGGTCCAGGCTGGCAAAGGACAGTGACAGCTCTGAGAGAAGCAATTCCTGATGTCCAGAGCTGCATCTCCCACGGGCCTGCCTCCTGTTCCCTTTGGATACCAGCTGGGAAATCCAGCAGACAGCAAAAGGGAATTTTCAGAATCACTGCTTAGCACAGAGACAGGCTGGAAAATGGATTGCAGGGAGAAAACCTGAAGTGGGGAGAGCAGGAGGAATGGGATTGGGCTGTGGATGGATGTGGCAGACACCACCTCAGGCCTCATTCCCTGGGGATGAGGACCACACCTGTGATTTCAAAGTCTCCACAAGCCACTTCCAACACACAAAGCTGCCACTGGCCATGGCAGAATGTTGTTTTTCTGCCTGGATCCTTAAGGAGGTCCAGTCTGAAGCCTTGATCCTGGAACCCCATTCCTGAGTCTTCATGGCCACTGCACAGCCCTCAGCCCAACACAGAGCTTCTCCCTGCCAGAGAATCATTCAGGAAAATCCTTTCAGGTCATGGAGTCCAGTAATTCTTCCAGCACTGCCAGGGCCACCACTGCCCCATGTCCCCAAGTGCCACATCCACATGGCTTTAAATCCCTCCAGGGATGGGGACTGCTCTGGGTGGCTGTGCCAATGCCTGAAAATCCTTTCAGTGAAGATTTTTTCCCTCTTATCCCACCTAAACCTCCCCTGGCACAACTTGAGGCCATTTTCTCCTGTCCTCTGATTCTATTCCAGGATTCTCTGCATTTCCAGCCTGGAGAGGAGAAGGCTGGGGGGGAACTCTTCAATGTGCAGCAATTGTGGAAGGAAGGTGCCAAGAGGATGGGGCCAGGCTCTTCCCAGCAGTGCCAGCATCCCAGGAGATGCACAGGTACCTGTCAGACCCACTCTCCCCCTCCTCCTTGTGCTGCTCCACCAAGCAGAGGGATTTCCCACCTCTCCCTTCTGGTATCACTGCAGTGCTCTCTTTCATTTTCTGGCTGAAATGACCTGCAATGCAGAGGCTCACTTGCTGCACTGATCCTGCTGCCAGATCTGTAATCCTCAATCCCCCTGGGGAATGCCTGGAGTAGGAAACCACTTGGCATGGCAAGCACGTCAGCATTTTCCTGGCTGCATTTTTTATTGTCTCTTTGCTGCATCCCTGACTTCAGTTAAGTTTTCTTCCCTTTCATCCCTCACTTTCTCCAGCCTCCCCCAGTGCCTTGAACTGAGGTCTCAACATCCCTGAGCTCCCTTCTCTTGGACACACCTGTCCAGGTGTGGGGGGACAGCACATTTACTCCCATCCATCCCAAGATTTTCATGTAGGGTAACAGATCTGCAAATGGAAAAAACACGGGGAGACAGAACTCTTCCCTTGGCAGTGGCATCCTCTCTTTCCTGGGAGGCTCCAAAGGCTGATTGATTGAGGTGGATTCCCTGCTAATCCTGCCCCTGCCATGCTGGGATTTACAAGTTATTAATTATAGGGACCTTGCAAGCTGCAGAGCAGCCAGACTTCCAAGCAGCAGAAGATGCTTTATTTAGAGAAGATGGGGCAATTTTTGTTTTCTTTTTTAATTACTATCAGCAGTGAGAGACATTTGTACTAGAAGGGAGAGAGAATTCACCCACTGCATTGGTTCCTTTGAATATTTCCATAAAAGAAACAAAAAAAAAAAACCCAAAACCTTGGCACAATTTGGAGTAAACATCACATTGTTTACCCCCATTTCTTCTACCCAGTCTCAGTCCTATTCACTTTCTGAAAATCACTAAATCCCAGACTGGTTTGGGATGGAAGGGATTTTAGATCACCTCATTCCACCCCTGCCATGGCAGGGACACCTTCCACTGTCCCAGGTGCTCTAAGCCCTGTCCAGCCTGGCCTTGGCCACTTCCAGGGATCCAGGGGCAGCCACAGCTGCTCTGGGAACCTCCCCACCCTCACAGGGTAGGATTTCCTCCTAATTCCCAATCTACATCTCCATTCTCTCAGTTTAAAGCCAAAATCTGGAAACCAAAGCAAACAGAGGAAAGCCTGGCTCTAACAGATTTGCTGCTGACTTGCAGGGACCCACATTTCACCCTCTGCACTGGGGAAGTTCCCCAAATTCTTTCTCTAGACTATGCCAAGGAGGAAATAGAGTCCTGCAGCCTTTGTGGTTCCTCAGCATCTCTCTTTGCCTCTAAGTGGTCACTGTGTGCTCCTCACACCGTGCAGGAAAGGCATTTCAGGTTTTCATGGAAATCAGTTTATGGCAAGAATGATGGGATCACAGCACAGTTCTGTTGGTTCTGGACCCCAAGCAACAAGCAAACAGTGAAAAGGACACAGCTGTCAAAGCAGCAAGGCAGGACAATAATTTTTAGAGGAGCACCATGAATCCATATAAAAAGCAGGAAAAATGGGATTTCTCAAAGGAAGAGGCTGCAGGAGCTCAGGGGAAAAAGTAAAGGTCTGTGCAGCAGCTCAGTGGGAAGAGTGGACGTGCAAAAAGATCCAACCCAGCCCCACAGCAAAGTGCTGTGTTCCATGAGGAAAACAAGTGTCCAAAACCAGGGAGCACGTGGAAATAATGCAATATTTGGCACCTACCAGCTGTAGGAAACTGGGATTAGCCCAGCAAGGAGGTGGTCACTGACAGGCAGCTTCTGAGTGCAGTGAGAAAATCCAACGTGGAAATGCAGCCCACAGAGGGATCCCAGAGCTGGAGAGGGAATGCTCCTGGCACAATTAGGCAAATCAAGCCTATTAAGGGACAATCACTCTGAAGGGTTGTTATCAATCACTCCCCTGGCTTTCTTTAGGCAATTATCCTAATTGCATCAAGGCTATTAAGCAATTATTTTGATAACTGGAGCTTTTTTGCCGACTCTTTGATTCTTGCAATGTTTTGTTCTTTGTATAAATGCCCCCTCCAAAAGATGTTTAAAGCTGATTTTAAGGATGTCCTTTTCCTGAAGCACAAGATACAAACTTCTGTGTGAAAGCACCAAGTCCCTCTCAAGAAAACGCTGATTTTTATCCCTGGGTTTTCTCTTAAACCTCCCTCCCACCCAAATCTCCCAGGGCACCAGGGATTTAGTTCCACTTTTTTATTATTCAACTTTTTATACATAATAAATACAAACTTTTTACAGCCAATATAAAGAAAGCATTTGCACTGATGCTTTCAGGGTGTACTGAGCTGTACACGATGCAACGGCCGATACATGCCCTGTATGAAGAAATCATAGTTAAAAAGGAGGCATCTTTTTACAACTTTTCTTCCTTTTTCTTTTTTTTTTCTTTTTTTTTCACTTTTGTTTTTTAAATAAAATTAGCAGCTCTTACAGAAAATATTTTAAAATACAACTAAAGAGACTTTTAAATAAAAATTTTCTGGATTTTTGAAAGTCCGGGTGTGAAGGACACAGACCCGTGTCCTGGCCAAAAGAACTGAACATGAAACTGGTGAAACTGGCCAAAAGAATTGAACATGAACATTATGGCAAAAACTTGGTTTTCTTCTGCATTGTAAAGATCTCAAAATATTTGCAAACAGTTAAACCATTTTTTTTTTAAAAACGTTTCTTTTTAAACTTAAGAATAAGTTTGATAAACACATAAAAAGACCTCAAACAGATCAACAGGACAAGAGGTGCAAAAGAAGGAATAAAATATGGAAAAGACTTCATTGGACAGTCACTGATTCCATAACTGATCCATGAATTGTTGCCTTCAGACAGCCCCACTCTTGGTTAAGGATCCCACTGGGAAAGGAGACTGGCAAGCACTGGATGTCTCAGAGACCCAGCCTGGGTTGGGATTTCCAAGTATGTGCAAAGTTTATGATAAAATCTTGTTAGATGAGTCGTTGGGTTTTTGTTGTAAATGCAGCCTCAAAAAATAGCCCTTGTTAGTAAACTAAAGGTTGAAAACTTACTGGTTTTGAGAAAAAAACCATGAAGACACAAGAGAACCCACAAACAGCTCCAAACCCAACCTTGGGATGCCTTTGATCTGAAGTTTTCATCTGATGGAGAATGCTGACAATATTTTAGTCAGTACTCAAGGAAAAACCTGCTTGCATCCAGTTTTTCCCTCTCCTCCAACCATTCCACTCCACATTCAACTTCAGAATATTCTTTGCCCTTTTCTCTCAAAAAACTGAAATCCAAGCTCCCTTTTCAGAGCTCTCTGAGGGAAATGTGAAACTCTTTTCCTTTCAGTTTCTTCCCTGAGAGGAACTGGGCACATCTTGGGCACGAAGGTGGTGTGAAGGCAGAACCCGGAGCTGCTCCTGGCTCCCTGGCTTTGGCTGGTTAATGGGATTGGGGTGGGAAAAGGCTACAGGGCCATCCAATGCAACAACTAAATGCATGTAAGTACTCTAAATGGAACTGCTAACTCTAGAACTCAGGTGGTTTGATGACAAAGATACACTGCTAATGTTGGATAATAAAGTACACGGCAATAACTGGGATAAGAGTGACCCAAATGCTTTAAAAAAATAAAACAAACCCAACAAAAGAACCAAAATCCCCAAAATCTGCAAAGAGAAAAAAAAAAAAAACAGAAAAGAAAAAGCAGCTCAATTTCCAGATCTAGACAAAAATCTCACTTGCTTTTTTGCTTTTCTACCCGTTGGTTTCTGCTGTGGAAGAAGATGTTGCTGCTGGTTCAGCACCTCCATGTTAGATCCTCTATGAGTAAATGCACTGAGTAAACACAAAAATCCAAAGGCAGAATGTTCAGCTGTGAATCACTGACAAGGGGAGCACCCATGGAATGAACACTTTTGCTTCTCCAGGAGATCATTTTCCCATCTCTTCCTTTCTGCAGGGGGATTCAAGAGGAGCCAGCCTCTCCTTTAGACTTCTTTTTCCATTCCCTTTTTCATTCTTCTGATGAATACCTGATCAGGCAGGTGATGCTACTGGAAGGATCCACAATCTTTAACACATTCCTATGGCAACAGTAATATACTGTACTAATGCACAGGAGCAAAGGATGCTAAGACTAAGCTGCATGAATGGGGCTCTTTCTTTGTCTCCACATCAACATGGAGCATCTCCAGCCAAGAAAAAAAGCCAATCTTGGCCTGTCTTGGTTTGTGCTAAGAGAAGAAGAATGATGTAGAGAAATCCAAACAAACAAACAAACAAAACCAAAAGGCACAAAATATTCATGACTGTGGGAAGGAATCCGCCAGGTCACTGCCACATAAAATCCTCCCTATCGCTCACTCTAGTCCAAGTCTTCATCATGCAAAGGTGCCTAAAAACGAGATTGACCAAAAGCTGTGTTTGGCCTTGATTGTAGCACTACTAATTAGCCAGTCCCCTCGTTACACCAGAGTGATCTCCACGTCCTCGATCTTCTCCGTGGGCCGGCGGTGGTGCTGTGTCGGGGGGGGTGGAGCTGCTCGCACCTGCAACATTCAGAACCAGCCTGTGACTACCCCAGAATGGCCAAATCCCACCAGAATCCCTGACATTTCCTGCACTGAGCTCCAGATGATGCAAACTGCACCTCCTGCACCCCTTGAGATGATGCAAACAAACAGGTCGTGTGTCCAGCGGGATGCAGCTCCAGTGCTGCCCAGCTCCGCCATCAGGGATTTTCCTTATGAACTGTCCCAGACTCCCTCCAGGGTGCAATCCCAGATTTATTCCATGGATAAGCCAGGATGGAAACATGGGAAAGGCTCATCACATGCTGAATCTGATGGAGATTTTGCCTGCAATTTCTGTGGAGTGGGAACTACCAGGATGTTCTGCTGCACCTGACTCACTGATACTTCTCAACAATACACACCCAAAATGTGATGTTTTTTTCACACTCTGCCACATCAGTCCTTTTTGCTCCTGACAGTGATCATCTCTAGTGCCAACAGGGTTTTTAGGACACCATTTCAGAATACACCAGACTTGCTCTGGAAAACATGAACTGTGGAGCAATCCTGCATCAAACTGCCCAATACTACCTCAATATTCAGAATATATTATTTAAATATCCAAAAACGCTCTTTTTTCTGCAATCTCAATTACTGAAAAGGCTAGGAAAAGACAAATGTTCTGTTTTAGTATGATTTGGTTTAGGGCTTTGAAAACCCCACAACTTGATTTCAAAGTTAATCATAGGAGATGGATTTTGCCACGTTCAAAGTGATTTAATTCTTCCCTTCCTTTTCTGGCAAATGTCCTTTTTCTAGGCAGCAAAGACAACACAAAATCCTCATCATTAGGAATCGTGAATCCAAACCCCTCAAACCAAAAGGGGGTGGAAATAAACAGAATACCAAATATGCAGGAAAGGAACTGTATAAACCATAGGATTGACATCTTCTGGCATTTACTCCCCACCTCTTTTTCAGCTCTGTTTAGGGGCTGTTACTCTTTGAATATCAATATTTTAGAATACTTATAATATTATAATATAATATTAATATAATAATAGAGTATTTTATGAAATATTTTATCAATAAAACCCACAGGATTTTCTGGTCACTTACAGGCCGCAGTTTGCCATAGGAACTTTCCGGAGGAATTCGTGGAGGTTGGGAGAATCCAGGGGACTCTGAACCAAAGCTGTTCTCTGAGGAAATAAGCAACACCCTATTACAAAGAAGCCCCTCAGAATTGCTGAATTTATGTTGTAAAAATGCTCCTCTTTTCTGAAAGGTTTCTAAATGAAGCCTTTTCCCAAAATGTTTGCAAATTTCTCACCGTTCGTCGATGGAGACCTGGGGAAAAACTGGGATCCTCTTTTATCCGGGCTGGGATAGGGACTGGTGGGAGGCTGGTCATACAAAGGCAGTGGTGGCAGGGAGTTGTTGGCCTTTGGAGTGGGGGATACCTGTGCCAAAAAGAGGGAGAAGCTGCAGTAAATCCTCCTTGGCACATTTAACACACACACACACACACACACCATTTTTCCAACCCATCCCTACTCCAGCAAGTTCCCTCTGGAGGAAAAGCAGCTGGCAGGAAAGTTTGGGAAGACAAGCCAAGGTATCCAACAGGGATTCAATTTTTTTAAATCATAGGTTGCCACTGAACAGAAATTTTCAGCCTCTCCCAGGTAATTCAGAGAGGATTTTTGAAAGTTATTCGAAACAAAAAGGTTGCTCAGCCAAGTGGGATTCACACAGAAGTGTTGGGATCACAAGCTTTATCCCCACCCAAAATGCATTTAAATGTGCATTTTTGTGGTCTTCCTAAATCAAGGAATAAAAATACTGAAAAATTCCATTGTAGAAAACATGGAAGTGCAGTTTCTATCTCCAAACTCCACACTGGAATGTCTGATTTTCTAATACGATATAAGGATTATAGAACTACACTGTAGAAATGAGGACATTGCTGCAAAAATTACTATAATCCAAAACTTGGCAGTATTCTGCCCCTCAAAAACTGAGAGAATATAGAACAGATTTAAGTATGAAAACACTCAATTAGGGCTGAAAGAGCCTGTAATTCTCTTTTTGCCAGGTTGTGTCTGACATCTCAGTCTCTAAATTAAAGACAGGAAGTAAACTGCGAATTTTCCTTTGATTGCTTTCTATCATAATATCTGCCTTTATTCACAAATTTGCAAAAATACATCATTAGGCTGGGGAAGAAACTAAAATGTAAGCACTGAGGGCTTGGATTGTTTTTTTCTTCCTTAAATTGGTTCTGATTTTTTTTACTTAAATAGCTTCTGATTTTTTTTTTCTTAAACTGGTTTTGATTTTTTTTTCCCCTGCGAAGAAGTGACAGAGCTTTGCAAATAATAAACCAAGCCAAGACCTCTTTCCATACCTGGATATCCCCAATCCACTGAGTCTCTCCATTCTCTGAGGCTGTGAGCTCTTCAACCAACACGGAGGGGAAGACCCCGACGCGGCCATTGAATTCCCCCTCCCAAAAGCCATCATCATCCTGGTTTTCCTTGTTCAGGATTCGGATGATGGCTCCCTCTGGGAAGGACAGCTCGTCATCTGTCTGCCCCTCGTAATCATAAAGTGCTTTGACAAAACAGACTGCAAAATGGAAAAGGAAAAAACCCAATGAGCTAAGAAAAAAAAGGAAGTATACATCAAGTTTGATAGCTGGAGCTGGGGATTTTGAAGGTCTTTATAAGAATCTGGGGCAGATTATTCCAGTTTTCCTTAATTTTGATCTCAGCTAAAATTTCCTTAATTTTAATCTCAGTATGAGCTGAGGAGGTGAATTATGCAGATTTAATATGAGAGAGATAATTACTGAGATAATTACTGGGAATGGCTGTATTCAGATATGGGTCAGTCTCACTCTGCAACTCCCTGAAAGGAGGTTGTGGCTGGTGGGGCCTTTTCTCCCAGAAAACCAGAGATAAGACAAGAGGAAATGTCCTCAAATTGCACTAGGGGAGGCTCAGATTGGATGTTAGGGAAAATTTCTTCCCTGGAATAGTGATTGAAACATTGGAACAGGCTGGGAAATGGTGGAGTTCCCATGCCTGGAAGGATTAAAAAATGAGCAGACTTGGCAACATGGTAGGATTTGGTCAAAGCTTGGATTTCATGATCTTGGAAGTCTTTTCCAACCTTAACAATTCTGTGACTCCATGAAATCTGGGAAAATCTCCCAGACTCGAGGTGCAGAGTGTTTCCAAGAGCCAGCTCAATACCCTATGTATTTTTAAGTGGGATTTACCATTGGAGTCCCCGTTGAGGCTGCCTGGCACCAGGTCAGCCTCCGTGGAGTTGTTGGAGGTGTGGGATCGGGAGTCCAGCGCAGCCAGGGACTGCAGCATGCTCAGGAGGCTGCTGGAGGTTGGGAATTGCAGGTACTTCTCTGGCACATATCCCACCTGTCCAGCCTTGTTCCGTGCCTGTGAACCAACAACAGGAACCATTCTCTGCTTGGGGCACTGCTCTGGAGAGAATCCCAGCATTCCCTCCCACCCCAACCTCCATCCTACCAGAGTTCATGGAAACAAGCTGAGAAAATGATACCTTCACCCAGTCTTCCATATCTCCATCTTCAATGACCTCCAACACCTCGTGCTCCTCTATGGTCAGCTCATCTGGCTGAGAAGCCTGGAATGCAGGACAAGAAGGATGGAAAAGGAAAGTGGCTTTTAGGGCAAGGCATGGGCAGTGGAAAGAACATTCCCATCTAGACTTTTATTAGAAGTGATGTTTGTTAAAAAACTGAAAGCTTTAACATGATTTAAAACATCCCATTGAAGGTTCTGCCATTCACAAAAGCCCTTCTCCCTGAGAACCTCCCTGAATCTCACCCTATCAGAAAAGCAAACCTCAGCCTCCCAAAGGCACATTTATTATTTGTTCTTATATAATTCATTTTTCTAATACGTTTTAAAAAATCACTAACCTTATAGGAATAAACAACTTTGCAGGTGAGAGGGTAATTTCTGAGAGTACCAGAAGGACTAGAACTGCTGTCATCAAAAACATCCATGCTGTCTTCAAACTCTTCACCTTCCTCCTTTTCTGCATCAGCATTGACCTGGTAAAACAAATTCCAGCATTACAGCAGCTGCTAAAAATTGGTGAAGAAATAACAGTAAAAATGAGCTGGTTAATATTTTTCAGTGTGTATTTTTTATGATTTATTGTTTTTGAAAGTAACTCAGCTGGATTTCTTTGTTCAGACAAAAGCACCTGGACTTTAAGAAGTACTGCAGAAGATTTTGGAAGCTCCAGCTCAGCTGATGGACAGTTATAAAATCCATTTTTCACATAATCTGTGACTAAAGTACTTTGGAGATGCCATCGCAACGGCACAAAAAACAGTTTATTGGAAAAAAGGGAATTGATGCTACTGAAAGATTCATGTACCTGTGACCACAAGTTATAAAATAAATCTGCAGTGAAAATATCTAAAGTTTAAAAAAATAATCCTCCAAATCAACCTTCTAGCTGGTGTATTCCACACAGCAGATTTGCTGCAGTTTATTACAAAAATTCTTAAGAGACAGGAAGATTTGTAAAAACTTGCTATAAAAGTTTAAATAAAACCTGAAGTCAATGTGCTGGAAAAATACAAGTTTGGGTAAGACTGCCAGGAGCTGTGCTTTGGCCTCATGCCTGGGTTATGTTTTGAATAAATAACTTTATCTCATGTGAAAAATGATGAATTATGCTGTGAAAACAGCTCTGTGAATCAAAGGCAACACCATTATGTAGAGCCATCTTCCCTGTGTTTATTCCTATTAATTTGGGAGTGAATCTGGTGCTCCCCCAGAAAAGTGAGAGACTGATAAAAAAAAGTTAAGCTGAGCCTACCAATTCCCAGAGCAGTTTCCCTACACCAGGTCTCTGACAGCTTTGCTCTTCTAGGCCTGGACCAGAACAGCACAAATCTTTATCATGTTCTGACTTCATTAGTTTTTATGTTACTATTTCCAAACCAAATCCTCGCAGTTCTGGTGATTATTTTTTCCTCAGTAACTCTCATCCAAGAGCAGCTTGCCTCCATCTATCCTTCATGGATGTTGGGATAACAAAAAAATTGTCCTACAGCTGGGCAATGCTTTGGGATATCAGCAACCAACCACAAATCATGGCAAATCTGGAGTTTCCCCTCCTGTTTCTCTGCCTTTTGCTGTGCATGGTCCCAGCAGCCAGGGCTGACATCCAGCTGGGACATCATGGAAATCAGCAAATCATGTCTACAAGGTTTGGGCAACATCTGCTCCTGCTTTTCTAGCACAAGGAGGAAAAACACTCCTTTATTTTCAGCATGTGGGCTGCTCTCAACTCCTCAGCTGGAATCATTTGGGAAGCAGGCATGGAGAGGGAAAACAGGAAACTGAGAGCTTGGCTTGACACAGCTCATCCTTCTGCTGCAGGGTCTGGGATGGAGGATGGCACCAGCAAGGAATCAGTGTATGGGACAGAAGGACACCAAAGGTGTGGGACAGGCAGCAAACACAGGAAGAAATGCAGGGGAGGTGATGAGAAAAGCAGATTATATACATTAAAAAATGATGAAAACAAACAAACAAACAAACAAACATGTAAAAATCTATCTTGTTTTGTTGCACATATACACAGATGGGTCCTGTCCCTGTCCCCTGGGAGCACAGCCTGACCCCCCCAAGTGTCCCCTCCTGTCAGGAGTTGTGCAGAGCCACAAGGTCCCCCCTGAGCCTCCTTTGCTCCAGGCTGAGCCCCTGCCCAGCTCCCTCAGCTTTTCCTGGGGCTTCAGGAAGCTGGCTTCCCTTCCCCAGCTCTTTTAAACACTGCCCACTCCTCCAGGCTGGAGTCAAAGTGCTGCTTGTTACAAACTGCAGTAATTCCTCTGAATTTTGGCATAATTTTGGTCTCAGCTCTAAGAATTCCATCTCTGGGCTGTCCCTGTCTGGCCTGCCAAGGTCAACAGAGCCTTTTTTAAATGCAGGAGCCTACGTAAGTGTCAAAGGGAAAATGAGACTCAGAGCTGAACCTCCCAGGCTGTGGCATCGCCTGGGACCAGCATGGGGGGCTCAGCTCCAGCTCCAACTGTGCCATGTCTGGGGACACTGGGAACGGGGGACTGGGAGCAGCCCAACAGGCACAGAGGGAGGTTAAAGGAGATGGAGTACAAAAAGAAATGGAATAAAATCACTGTTTAACACAGCTATGCAACAAATCCTCATCTATGGTGACCAGAGAGGATCTGAAGTGAAACTCAGCACAGGAATTCCTTTGGGATTTTTGACACTTGGATCTGCACACTCAAAGAGCTCAAGATAATATTATAAACTATTAATGAAACTTCAAAGAAACACAGGCCTTGGAGATTTTCCAGGGATCCAGGGGCAGCCCCAGCTGCTCTGGGCACCCTGTGCCAGGGCCTGCACACCCTTCCAGCCAACAATTCCTTCCCAATATCCCACCCATCCCTGCCCTCTGGCAGTGGGAGCCATTCCCTGTGTGCTGTCCCTCCATCCCTTGTCCCCAGTCCCTCTGCAGCTCTCCTGGAGCCCCTTCAGGCCCTGCAAGGGCTCTGAGCTCTCCCTGGAGCCTTCTCCTCTCCAGGTGAGCACCCCCAGCTCTCCCAGCCTGGCTGCAGAGCAGAGGGGCTCCAGCCCTAGAGCAGCTCTGGGGCCTCCTCTGGACCTGCTGTATCCCACACAAAATCAGGAGCAGTGCCTGGAGAGATCCCCCAGCCCTGGAGAGATGTTCCCCCTGGGAATCTGAGATCCCCCAGCCCTGGGGATGGGTTTCTCCCCCCCAGGAATCCGTACCAGGTGCGCGGAGCCGTTGTTGGTGACCGAGGGCAGGCTGGCCCAGCGCTCGTTCTCCAGCTCCTCCATCACCTGGTTCATGGCACTCTTCAGCCACGTGTCCACGGACACCCCAATCTGCTTCAGCAGCTCCAGCCTTGCTTCTGCCTTCAGCTTGATGATCTGGGGACACACAAACACACACAGAGCTCAGAGTTCCTCAAGGTCCCACCTTGCCCTGTGGACCTTCTGACCATCCAGATGGCTCCCGAAGCTGCTCCCTGTGGAAATGAGCCCCACTCCTCATTTCCTTGCCTGGTGTGAGCCAAGACACAGGCAATGGTTTTCTGGAGGCTCAGCCAATCTCACCAGTTGTGTTTTTTGAAGTATCACCTCTGAGTTTATGCCCACTCCCAATTCACACCCTTAAGTAGTTCAGTGCAGCTTTGAAGTCCAACAACACAGTTGGACTTCAAAGCAATCTTCACAACAATCTTGCTTCCCAAGATTTTTAAAATTAGGAATATCCACAGTGCAGACCTTTCCAGGTGGTGACTAAGCTGGATGTGAAACAGAAATAAACCTGACAGGATACACACACACCAACCCACCACCTCCCAAGCCAGGCTCTTTTCCACCAGCACGTGCCAGAGATGACAGGAAACTCATTTGTTATGGAAGCACAATATGTTAATAATCCCCAAATTAAGTAAGTATTGCACTCCAACAAACAGTTTCAGGATTTTTGTCTTCAGACCAGCATGGAAATGGAGGTTTTCTGACAGCTGGGTTCACTTCAGCATGCTGGCAGGCTGGCTGGCCGATGGAGCCAAGGATTTAACAAATTCATGGCAAAGCACCACCCTGATCCAAATTAGTTCACAGTCTAAACAGGAGGGGTGGGAAGAACAGTGTGAAGAAATTCAGGATTTCAGCAAGAGCAGATCTGCATCAAGAAGTGAAGGGCAAACCCAGGGATAAAACTGAGGGTATTTCTGTCCAGACCAGCCCTCTCAACACCCCCTGCTGCCATTGCTCATCAGATGAACAAAAATCAAGTGATTTCCCAAAAATCCTTCAGTGAGTCACTGATGGAGGCAGCAACAGAAACCCACTGAAGCACCCTGGAATTCTTCCCACATTCCCTTTCACAGCACTGGTCATTTTTAGCAAGTAGCAAAGTTTCATCTCCTTTCTCTCCCTTCCAGCCCTTCCCACAGGGATCTGAAGCACCTCACTGCTTCAGATCAAGCACTCAGCAGCACTGGGAATCCCAGCAAAAACAGGTGAGTTCAGGCAAAAATTAGAGGGAAATTCCTTTTCCAGTAGTGGCTGAAGCACAGCAGACTATGCAGAATATGTGTACAGTGAATTCAAATGCCAATGGGTGCCAGGTATTTATCTCTTACACAAATCCTTACTCCATACAAAATTTTGTGTTGAGCTGAAGTGATACAGGTATTTTTCTCATTTTTGACATGCTGCTGCACTTACAGCATCAGAGAATTCTATCTTTCTACTTAGAAAATAAATCAGAAAAGAAATGACTGCTAACTTGATTAAGCTGAACCCTCAAAATGTCTCCATTTTCACTTAATTTGTGAAGGTGACTTTAAACTTGTCTCAAACCACTTTTGAGAGACATTATTTTAAATTCTTCACAGAAGAAATGTGATTTTTAAGGAGTAGGTCAGTTGTAAGAGGGAAATTCATGATGTCAGATGAAAGTTCATATGGCTACAGCTGCCTGCAGCTCTGCCCTGTAATCAGGGATGGAGAAAGGAGGATGGGACAACTTTGAGAGGTGTTTCCCATGGGAAAAGCCAAAGCCACTGAGCCACTTCTTCATGCAAGGGGTCTCCAGGTGAATGATTAACAGTAAACAGTGTTCAGAGAGCTGAGAAAAGGAGGAAACATTCAATACATTAATGTGCATCCCTTCTCTCCTGTTCCTAAGCATCCAAGATTTCCAACAAACCCACTCCAACCTTGCAGCTGCACAGGGCAGGGAGAACAACCTTGTCAAAGGCAACTTATTCACAGAATTCCAGAATGTTTTGGGTTGGAAGGACCTTAAAATCTTCCAGTGCCACTCCCTGCCATGAGCAGGGACACCTTCTGCTATCTCAGGGTGCTCCAAGCCCTGTCCAGCCTGGCCTTGAATATATAAATATATATATTAATGTATATATTTACTTGTGGAGTGAAGTAGAATACGTAATATATATATTAATGTATATATTTACTTGTGGAGTGAAGGGGAATATATAAATATATATATTAATGTATATATTTACTTGTGGAGTGAAGTAGCTTTCCCCTACCTTGTCTTTACATCCTGATACCCATTTATGAGCACTCTCCCTGTGCCTCCACCTAGGAATTGCTCAGCCCAGTTGTTTTTGTTTACCTCATTATGCAATTTCCAATTAGGCTGAGTTATGCTACAGCAATAAACACTGGTCTAGGCTGCTACCAACATCTGCAGTTGCTGTTAGTCCTTGCTCTGCTGTAGTTTGTTTGTACAAATTGTGAGCTAAAATAAACAAGCTGCTCCAAAATCCTTGAGTGTACTTTACAAGAGGTTTTAATTCAATGTACCCAGCAAATCCAATGGAGTTCCCCCTCCCTGTTTACACCCAGGAGCCTTAACAGTCAACAAATGTTTGTTCCAAACCACAAATGTTTTGAGTTCCATTCCATTGCAGACAAGCCATAAAAGCACCAGAAGCATTAGGTCAGGCCTGCACTTGAAAGTTATTTACACGCTGAAATTATATTTTTACCTAAATAATTATGCTGGTAGACCAGAGTTAACAGCTTCCTACCTGTAGGAAAAATACAAATAAAATACCACTCAGGAGCAGAACTTTATCCTGCTTCTCACACAGGAACAGCTACACACTTAAACATGGTTTAGTGGTGGCCTTGGCAGTGCTGGGTTGGACATGATGATCCTGGAGTGCCTTTCCAACCTCAATGACTCTGTGATTTTATAAAGATACAAACATTTCATTCAAGCATCACTCCATCTGAATGAGCTGGGGTTTGGTGCTTTCATTATGCCACAATAAAATGTTAAATAAGAAGGAAACAGGGCAATAGTGGTGATTTCACCACATTGTGCCACAAGCTTTTCTCCAAGTCTTGTTCCCTTGGAAGATCATCACATTAAAAACCAAACAAGGCTTTAACCCTGGTTTTCCCTGCCTCCCACTGGAGTCTCCAGGGACACTGGGGGACTGAGTGACCTCCACTGACAGATTGGGAAATATCTTCCAGCAAGTGACCCCTGGCAGTCCCAGCAACTCTGAGCATCTCCAGGAAGGCAGCTGAGCTTCCCAAGCCCAGGAATGCTGGAATCCAGCACTGGCTCTGAAATCTGGGTGCTGCCCAAATTTCATTGTTAGGGAATCTCACTGCAGGACAAACATTTTCCTGTGTAACAGTGAAAATTGCTGTTTACAGCCACCAATTACTGGTTAATAGCTGAGGACTGGGGTATTTTTACACTGATTAAAAAACCATCAGCCACCCACAAAATGTACAAACTCTTCTGGGGGGTTCCTGCTCCTCTGAGCTGTTCTTTCTGCTGGGAGGATCTAAGAAGATGAAAGGAAAAACCACCCAAGTTTTAGAAAATATAAACACTGTTATCTATTCCTCACGTACCTGACGTTGCTCCACATGGGAGATGCAATAGTTTTGTTTATTTACTGTTCCAGTCTTAATTAAGCAATGGTTTTTTGACCCACAGCTTACTCAAGATGAAGATACACAACTGCTCTGCAAGGCATGGAAATGAAATCCAGCAGGAACATTACAGAGCTGCTCCCCATTCCCAGGAGAGAAAAGGGCTGGAAAGAAACCCAGATTTCCTTCACATCCCACAAACACCTCGAATCCAAGTCCTACAAAGCCATTTATAAATGTGTTGGGGTAAAAACCACACAGAAAAGCAGAAAATGTTGCCCTTTCTATATTCTGGTTTAGGTTTTTCTTAAAGCCAGTTTTAAATGGATTTTCCTGAAAGCAGAGTTGCTTTACCTGCCATGGCTTTCCAAGGTACAGAACAAACTCTGTGCCATGCCCAGATTTTCTTTTTCTCCTGAAGAATCTAGATTTATTTCTTTTACACAGAATTTGCACTTAGGAGCTTGGTCAGATACTAAAATCAGATTAAACTAGGATTGTGAGGAGATCCAAAACATCTTCAGTGAGAAATGTTTTATTCCACTGCAATATTTTTTCAGTGGCGGGAAAAAAAAATCATGTATGAACCACTTAGGGTGGAAAACCCCTCTAAGATCATGGTATCCAACTGCTCCCCCAGCACTGCCAAGGCCATCACTGATGATGTCCCCAAGTGGCTGGACACTCTCATTTGGCAAATTCTTTTAGCCAGGAAGAAATCAGTGTGGAGAGATTCTGGCAAAACATTCTGGAAGGCCATTACCTTTATTTCTGTCCCCATTTAGAGAAACTTTTTGTTGAAATTCTAGGCTTTTTACTTAGAAAAATACATTAAAATGAAATAATTCTTTTCAGGGAAAGTTAAATTTTGGGCCACTGGAATTATGATACATAGTGATAGGCATGACTATAAATCAATTTAATTTATAATTAAGTCTTGGAATGGCCTAAACTTCCCAAAACCCAAAGTGAGTCTTATTCCATGCAGTTCAGTTTTAAATCCCATGTGTTTAAGTAGGGATGTATGAGGAAATAAACCAAAAAATCAACTTGCACTGCCCTGCTGGGGTTTGGGGTGGAAAACCCAAAGCTGTGGCAAAACCACCCCAAACAAAAAGACAAATCCTGTCCAACACAACTCACCTTAAATCTGGATCATTTTTCTGCACTGGGTGGGGAATTAGCTCATAAATTACATTTTCCACCACAACACTGAGTGCATTTCTTTTCTAAGTGGGAGGCTGGGCTGGAGGCTTGTACAGCTATTCCAGCAGTTAATTTATATGCTAAATAATCTGCATGGACTGAAATCCAACGTGAAGGAAGCAGGAAATGAGGCACTGGCACACATAACACCTCTCCCAAGGGAATTCCAAGGTTAAGGAAAGAGAAGGGAAGTTATTCCTGGAGAAGAATCCACCTGCACAGCTCCAGGCCAAGTGGCAGATGGGTTCTTCCCAAGCTTAGGCACACAGAACATTAAAGATCCCTAAGTATTGAATTTGTAGGGTTTAAGAAGTGGCTCTCAAGCTGTTGGGAACAGGGCCTGAATGGACATCACCCAAATTCTGTAAGGAAAGAAGTGTCTGTGAAATGTATGTATACAAACATTTAATATCACATTTCTCTGTAGTCCTGGGTTGAACACTGGTTCCTCACAGAGTGAAAAATGTAATGGACATTTCAGAGCCAAAACATTCAGTAAGACTGGAGCAGAGGCTGGATTAGACAAAGAGCCCATCACTTAGAAAATCATCCCATTCCACCCCTGCCATGGCAGGGACACCTTCCATTGTCCCAGATTGCTCCAAGACCAATCCAACCTGGCCTTGGGCACTGCCAGGGATCCAGAAGCAGCCACAGCTTCTCTGGGAACCTGTGCCAGGGCCTCACCACCCTCCCAGCCAGGAATTCCTTCCCAATATCCCACCTATCCTTGCCCTCTGGCAGTGGGAGCCATTCCCTGTGTCCTGGCACTACCCACCATGTAAAAAGTCATCCTCCCCCTCACTAAACTGCTTTTCACCAAGACAGTTGGAAATTCCTGCTCTGTGGATGTCACTGGGATTTTTCCAGACCAGTCCTCAATCTGCTGACCTGGAAAGACCAACAACTCCTCCACATCTCCTGCAGGGAAGGCACCTGGCTCCCTGCACTGCTCCCCAGCCTTTGCTTCCTGAGCTCAACCAGAGATGGCAGAGGGTGGCATTTTACAAATTCACCTTTATGGATTAAGAGCCTTATTCCCTGACAGTTGGACAGGGCTTGGAGCAACCTGGTGTAGTGGAAGGTGTCCCTGCCCATGCCCTGAAGGGCCCTTCCCTCCCAAATCATGCTGTGATTCTGTGACTCCATTTCATTTATTTTCCTGAAGCATATGGAATTTCCTTTGTTCCCACTGTGACACAACCCAGCAATAAATATCCACAGCCAAATACAAGGAGAGGGAGAAATCAGCCCCCCAGTTAAACACAATTAAATTGGGCCTGCACCTCTGAGCTGATCAAACAGAGTGAACAGCACCACAATGAGCCTTAACCAGATCTAATCTGGTACAAACACTCTCTGGAGAGCTGTAGGTATCCTGATGAGGAGACAAAACACATCGTCCTGTAATTAAGTGGGAACAGGATTAATTGCTGTGGAGGCCCAAAGACCTGAGAGCAAATGGGAAACCTCTGCCACCATCCTGGAGAAGAATCTTGTCAGCCCTGGGACAACTGAACTGCTTGGGGAGAGCCAGGCTGGAGCCTTTGGTGTGAGACAGGAAAAAGGAGATAAGAAGAAGAAATGTCCTGTGCTGGCACTGCTGAGGCACCTCCAGTCCTGGGGCAGCTTCAGCATCCTCAGGACAGGAAGGACATGGAGGGGCTGGAGGGTGTGCAGGGAAGGGAACAGAGCTGGGAAGGGGCTGGAAAATTCCTGAGGGAGCTGGGAAGGGGCTCAGCCTGGAGAAAAGGAGGCTCAGGGGGGACCTTGTGGCTCTGCACAGCTCCTGACAGGAGGGGACAGCCAGGAGGATCAGGCTCTGCTCCCAGTAAATTTCTGCTTCCAGTCATTGAAAGATAAAGGGATTCAGGCAGTGGGAAAATGGAAAGCTCAATTCCTCCCTTCCTTCCTGCTGTTACAGAAATCAAAGCTGAAATCACAGAAGTTCTACTTCAATTACCTGAATTGGGTCAGTGAGTACAGAGGAGCTCCAAGAATGGCTTATCTTCACAAATAATCAGTTTTCAACATCAATTCCCCAATTTTTAATTGATCTCTTTTACAGCTGATGCCTGAATTGTGCCACTTTCAGTTTGAAGGAGCACCTTGTGCTCTCAGGGTTTGTCTTTATCAAAGTGGTTCAATGCAGCTGGGACAAGGATGGAATCCCTCTGGATCTGAACTCCACAGTGTGTTATTAAATACAGTCAATTTTACTTCTTTGCCAGTGCCAGAGGTATTATCACTCAAACTCTAACATTATCTTAACATTTCCTTTAAAAACAAGCAATCAAACAAAACAAAACAAAAAAACCCTCCTTTAACAAACCCCACATTTTCCAATTTTAACACAAAAATGTGTGCTCTGGTTATCAGTTACAGTCACATCTGTCATGTAACATCTGCACAGCAGCACTCTGCTGGAAATCCTAATTTTTCCCTAACTCTAATCAAGCAGTTTGCTCCCTGAAAACATCACAAGGAAAAAATAGCTGTTATCCCAGGGAGAAAAAGATCAGAAATAACCCACTGAGCTGTGGATGTGCCAATCTGAGGGTTTATATTCACCTTGCAGAACACAAAACAATTGGGATTCTCTAGTAGTTCCTGATCCTGAGCACATTTTTACTCAATTCCTTTGCTGTACTTTCAAATTACACCTGTTTCCACATCCCTATACTTGTTAAATTCAGTTATCCATAGGGAACAGCTCCTCAGCTCCTCCCAGGGCTTAGATTTCCCTGGAATCAGGGTCTCCAAGGAAGAGAGCAGGGAGATGAGTACTTGTATACCCAATACACCCTGGAAAAATGAAACCTTTACCAATAAAATCCTCTCTAACCAAACCACAAAAAATTAATCCCAATATGTTTGTGAAGTTGTCTTCCCCTTCAGGAATGACAAGGACAGAAAAGGGAGAAAGCAGATTTGCAAAGGAAAATGAACAAGTCAAGAAACCAAAATGGGATAGAACAGGCATTAAAAAATCCATAAAAATAACAAGCATTTCAAGAGAAAAATAAAATAAAAAATCAAATCTCTGTGTCATCCTCACACACCTTCAGATGTGAGACCAGAACAAACTCCACAGCCTCTCTACAGCCTCAATAACTTTTTGCACAAATACCACTCCCCAACCCAACCCTCAGTAATTCCAACTCCATCAGGTGCACTTAAATATGCAGGAATGTTTGGTTTTCACACACTGCAAGGAATTATAATTGCATTCCCAAAGAACAGGTTTAAGCTCAAAGCTCAGGTTGTTCTCCTCCAGGATTTTATGTGTGCAAAAATCTCTTTGTCTGATTTAAGGTCTCAAGCTCAGTCTTAGAGGAGTGGGAACCAACAGGGCTAAAAGAAAAAAACATTCCCAAGGGGAAATAAAATCTCCCTAAATTCACTTATTGATTTATCTGAAAAAAATAAACAATGCTACACTATGAACAGCTTTGGTGGCAATACAGAAAACTCCCACAAAGAGGTTTCCACACCATTCCAAAAGCTCAGGGATAATTTCATGTCTTTAAAACATGCAGCAGAAGAGAAAGAAGTTGGCAAAAATCCCTCAATCACTGAATTTCATCCTCAAGTACTTGGCACTGGCAGCATATTGCCCTGTAAAACATGGCACATGTGAAATGTTAGGAAGATAAGGGATGGTTTAACTCCAACACACTGGAAAACCAGGAGAATACACTATTTGTCTGTATTAGCTAAAACACATGTCTTGGAGAAAATAATATATAAAATTTCCACTTCTTGGCACTTTCCCTCTCTCCTAAGTCATGTAAGTTCCAGACTGATTTAATTTGTACCTTTTATAATATTTTGCTGCAAGAACTTTCTCTTTGGCAACTTCTTATCCTGATTTTATTTCTTGCTGCTGCTTTTATCCTTGCAGGTTTAATCATTAACTATGTATGTATATACACAAGTATTCTGGAGTGTGGTATCTTGGAAATTATTTACTCAAACCAGGTTTTTAAACCGCTTTCTGTAAGAATTAGGTTTTTAAAAAAAACATATCCTGCATTTGCTTTAAAAAGAGAGTCTGATAGTTCTCCTGCCAGGAGGAGGAATAATTTTGCTCTGTATTTTCCAACCCCTTCACCTGTAAATCACATTCCTAATTACATCAGGTACTCTGAGGTATGAGAAGCAGTTCACTGAAACAATTAGGTTTCTCCTACAGTTTTAATTAAGCAACCCACTCACCCAAAACCCAGCAGATCTGATCCTGCTGCCTGCAATGGGATTTTTCAGTCAGTGGCCATGAAAACAGTTCACTTTTACCAGCCCAACACTGGCAGCCAAATAAGAAGTTCATTTTTTCATGAGTCTTAACCCACAACAGGTCTCAAAAACCTCAGTAACCCTTTTAAAAGCACCTCACACTAAAATTAGAGATACAAGGATATTTCCAATGTTTTCTCATCAACACTCAGATTTAGTTTGTGTATCAAAACCCACTACAACAGCACGTAGCAGCTCTAGAACCTGAAAATATGAAGTCAGATAAAGTCACCATTTTCTGGTATTCATTCATTCAAGCAGAAGGAAATTAGTAAAAAACAATGAGATAGTTCTTCAGTCTGTTTCAGATAAAACCCGTAAATATAGAGATTCTTGACCTTTGACAGTGAAAAATGCAGCAAGAGGACTCATTCTTCATCAGGAGATGTTTTAATATCACTCTTCTGATCTGAACTTTCATGAAGTTCATTCAGTGATTTGACAAATACCAAATGAAGAAAAAAAAATCTTAAAACTCCCTGGGTTTTGATGCTAAAAATACACATTTCCACCAACCAAATGAAGCTGTAACCAATATCTACCTGTGGGAAGGAAGTGAAAATGCCAAAATAATTTCCTTTGTACCTCAGCCTTGCGAATGCTCTCCCTGGCTTCATCTATTTTCTGCTCCAGTTCCGCTCGGGTTTGCTCGGACATCACGGCCCCGTGGCACTCCAGCTCTTCCAGGGTCTGCCAGGAACAAGGACACACACCACAGGTGCAGTAAATGCCAAAGACAGGAATTTGTGACAATCAGTTACTGTTTGGATGCTGGGGTTGGCTGACAAAGGTCCATCCCAGGAAATAAAAGAAATAAAAGGTGATTACGCTCAACACTGCTCTCTGGCCATTCCCTGTGTCCTGTCCCTCCACCCCTTGTCTCAAGTCCCTCTCCTGCTGTCCCGGAGCCCCTTTAGGCACTGGAAGGGGCACTAAGGTCTCTCTGAAGCCTTCCCAGAGATGTGAGAGCATTCTGGATGTTGTTTTTCTCCAGCTGATGCTGTGCTCAGGAGCTGGAATTGTATGGAACACGGGGAAACTGGGCAGGGTGTGGTGAAAGCACAGCAGACTTCTTTATGGCTGGATCTTTTGGGGGAAGAGCAAAAAACTTTTGTCTTTATTCTCCCTCCTAAAAGACACATTCAATACATTCCAAAACCCAGTTGCCTGATGCCCAAACATAGCCCTTGGCTCTTCAGCGCTCAGCCACAGACTTTGTATGTATCAATTCCCATCTAATTTTGCGTCATCACATTAGATTTAAGGGCCAATTCTTCATGGATTTTCCCAGTGTGGAACTGACTTTTGACAGCCATGTGAGGGGAGGCCCCAGGTGAGTCCCTGGTGCTGGCAGCAGCTCCTGTCCCAAGGGATGTGCCTGTCCCAGACCTACCCTCTGGCTGTGGACGATGTTCTTGTGCTCGCGGGCCACGCGCGTCGCCCATTTCCGCGCCTCCTTGTTCAGGCTGTGCTCCTCGGTGGTTCCCGTCTCTGACTCCAGCTGCCGGCTCTGGAACGGGCAACAAGGGATGAGCTATGATGGCCCAGACCCTGGGCTGCCTCTGTGCTGGCCTACAGGGTAAGTTTGCGCCACATTTATCAGCCTGGGGTCTTGTTTCTTATGAAACAAGGAAGGTGTGACAAGAACTTCCCGGTGAACTTCGGGATGGGACCAGGTTGTGGGAAGGCAACTCCAAAAGCCAAAAGTTCACAATAATTCAGTTTCCAAAGTAAACAGGCATTGCAGGAAGCAAAGATGACAGAATCACAGAATGGTTTGGGATAGAAGAGACTTTAAAAGCCCACCCAGGACCTCTCCACACCACCTTCCACTGTCCCACAATGCTCCAAGCCCTGTCCAACCTGGCCTTGGACACTTCCAGGGATGGAGCAGCCACAGCTTCCTAGGGCACCCTGTGCCAGGGCCCCACCACATGACCAAGGGGCTCATTCTTTGTAAATTGTGATCAAACCACAAAGCCATCAAATATTTTAGTTCAGCATGGCAGTTTCTGTCCAAAAATGTTTGTGTCTGCAAAACAGAGTCTGAAATTTCCAATCACATTTTTGATATTCTTCCATATTATTCCTGCCTTTGTTGTGTCAATGACAAAAAGTAAAATTATCCCCTTCAAGAAGTTCCAACTAGAGCAAGATGAAATAGTTCTCTGCTGTCTACAGGCTGAACACAGTGGGAACATTTTCCAGCATGGAATTACTGAAATCATTCCCAATCTTTCCATCATTTCCATTTGTAACAGAATCACAGAATCATCTTCCATCATTGAAGATATCCAAAAGCCACCTGGATACAGTCCTGGACAACCAGCTCTGGACCAGACAACCTCCAGAGATCCCTTCCAACCTCAACCAGTCCCTGTGACTTCTTTCCCTGATCCAGTCACTGCAATCCACAACCCCCTACACTCCTTTTTATCACAAGTCCTGACATAATTCTGCCCAGCCTTCGAGATCCACTAAAAAAATCCCTTATAAACTGACTCAAGAAGAGAGAATATGCACAGAGCTGTTGAAGTGTGAAAGAAATGCCTGTGTCACAAATTTCTCACTCTGTGTGGTTGAAATGACACCATTTTTCTTCATCAGGTGGAGTTTGAAACTAGAGAAAAAGCCCAGAAGGACGAAAAGGTTGTTTAGGCAGGAGAAATCCAAGGTTAGCCATCGGAAAAGGGTAAGAGAGCTGAAAGACATGGAATTATTTTCAGGGTAGCTGGGAAGCCTCCAGCTGTTGCAGAATAAGAGATGTTGTTATCAGGTATCTTAACAGGAAAAGTGGAATGATTTGTGTCAAGGAAGGATGAGAGTTCAATCATCTACACCAGCATTTGGCACAGACTGGGGTAAAACCAAGAGACACCAGGAGGCAAACTGAAGTAATTCTGAAAACAAGATTTTCCTGGCCTCATGGAAGAGAAAAAAATTACTACCTTTGGTTGACAGCCTATCAGGGGATAATAACTGAAAAAGAGGAAAAGTTGGTTCTGCTCATTACTTGTTCAGTGAAGTTCTTTGCCAAAAATGAACCTGGCCTTTATTCTGAGTGTCCGAAATGCCAGCCAGAGTTCTTTTCCAGGCACAGGGAATTGTCAGGCAAGGTGTGGAGCAGCCCAGAAGAGGAAGAGGAGAGGTACAGGCACAGGGCCAGCCCTGGGATGATCAGGTAGGAAGGTGAAGCTTCAGGTGAGGATCTCTCCAGCCATCCCCTCAATTTAATTAGTAAATTGGCTTTTCTTGAGGTGGATTTAGAGAATCATATTCATTCATTACTGACTTCTTTAATTACCTCTGTTAAGCTACTCCATTGTAAACTTGAAGGAAACAACACATGGATTTATTTAGGCACATCCAATCCTTAAGGTAACATTTCACTTCGGTTTTTTTGCCACAGCTTCTTCCACAGCTTCCACCTGAGCCTAAACCCGAGCAGAATCTTTGACATTCCCTCTTCCCTATCAAACATCTGAGAGTGAAAACAGCCCATAACATATTTTCAGTGTTCCCACTGCTCTTGCTCCTACTCAACAGCTCATTTTCATATGGAAAGAATCCAAACTTTTTAGTCACTTGATAATCTTCTCCATTACCCCAAGTGTGATTTTGGGTTTTAGTCTATTTATAATCAAAAGCACTTGACCAGAAAAATGAATGTGGACTTTGTGGCTATTCTTTAAGGCTTACTAAAAAATAAAGGAATTTTGTAGGATCAGACTTTTATTAGTTATTTATAAAGCAGTATTGCACCCAGGCAGACCTCACCCTTGCTTAAAGTTCTAAAAATAAAACAAAAATAAAAATGTGGCAATGAAAAGCCTGAATTCTGTACCTTCAGGGAAAGACAGACTGGACAGGAACATCAAGAAAATGAAAACCATTAAATAGGTGAGAAGAAAGGAGCTAAACCAGATTTATCTGCTGTGGACATTAAAGCCCAAATTGCAGGGAAGAAGGTGGAGGAACTGAAGGGTCTGATCCTGATTTACTCCATGAAGCTGAAGTGTTTTCAGGCCTGGAATGCCTCAGTTTAACCTCCTCCAAAAAGAGACAGAAACCAAACCCACTCTGGTGGCCAAGGAATGAAGGCAGAGCCAGAAAACCTGAGCTAAACATAGACGGACACCCTGCTGCTCCCTCAGGGCTTGGGTTACAACAAAAACAGTGTTTAGTGCTAAAAATTCGATCAGTAAACCAAACAGAAACTTCTAGATGGCTCCAAGCAGCTAAAAAGCTCAGGGGCAGCAATGCTGCTTCTTAAATTAACAAAAGCATTCAGGCTGCAGCCAAATGTCACTTCTCCATTTTGGTCTGAAATGTTGGTGCAGGTGCAGGATTTGCCTCCCAACAGGCCAAACTCAGCCTGTATTCTTATTTATCTGGTTATACCCGGATGCAGATGGCACAGTGCTGTCTTGAAAGCAAAAAAAAAATCAGATCTTGAGCCTCAAAGTTCCTTATTTTTGTGGCTGAAGCCTAAAAAAGTTCACTTCTAGCAAGGCAAAAAGCAGAGGACATTTATTGCATGCAAAGCACCGACATAAAACACAGCTAAAAACCAGGCATTTCTTTTAAAGAGAGGTGAAAACAAGAAGTTTCCATGCCAATGCTGCAGAGGAACGCTCTGGGGAGGAGGAAGGAACACACATGACATTTTTCACACAACTCACTGCTAAACTCAGCAGTTCTGAGAAAATCGTGAGCCAACTTTGGGGCTCCTTTCAGTCTCTTGTTGCTGAATTCATTTAATTTTAATTTAGCCAAGAGTGAGCTGGGGCTGACTCGTGTTTCAGTCAATTTCCAACACTTCAAACTGGACACTCCTCATCTTTAAAATTAAGATTTTTTTGCATAAAGGGGATTTTTCCCCCTCAGAATAACAAAAAAGGACTTAAATCCACTACTATTATCACATATATGATAGGATATATTGATATTATTATCACATATATGTTACAATAAAGCTAAATCCAAATCAACCAATTATTGCTGCTTTATAGAACCACATGCTGCTTTTTAAACCAACAAATCCATAATATATTATTGATACTAGACAATATTATATAAATCTAATAAATTGATGAGGGGGCTGTAGAAGGAAAGGAAACATCAGACCAGGCAGGGATGTTTTGTTTTGGTTTTTTTGTTTTGGTTTGGGTTTTGGGTTTTTTCGTTTGTTTCAGTTTTTTTGGCTTTGTTTTGGAAGTTAAGAATCTTAAAATTATTGACTTTTATTAAATATCACTGATCAACACAGCTTTCTTATTTCTAGGCCTTGATGTTTCTGCATTAAGAACTTCTGTTGCATACAAGAGATGAAAAGCACAACCCTTTTGATAAAATTAATTTGAATCTTATTTATTTTTAAAGTTTTTATTGTTCTCACTGAAATTAATCTTGAAATTAGAGTGCAGAGTATTTTGTTCATTTACTTCTATTCTCACCCTCATAATTATCCTCATTTGCCTCAGCTCTCACAGTAGCTGCATTCCCAGCCAATTTTTTCCAAAAATCTATTAGGACTAGAAATATGGAAAAATTGCCCTCATTAGGTAACCTGAGGCAAAAAAAAGGACTTTTAAAATCAAGTTTGACCCAGAAAATTTGATTTTGTGAATATTTTCAATGCAATATAAGCAAATTTGTAGTTCTGAAATGGCCACTTCTTTCCAGAAGAGCAACTTGTGCTCTCTGATTTTCATTGTTAGAAAATACTCAGAGCTTTGCTTAAATTTTGTTTCCTGACTGCTTGAAGCCAAAGAATTCTGTGTGCTCTCTAAATTAAAATTAGGTGGTGCAAATTAAAATCAATTAGGCAGTGAAAATTAAAATAAAATCCATTAGATTGGGAGGTAATTCCAGATCATTATACTTAAGAGAAAATAAGAAATGATCCTGACATTCAACCTAAGTTAAATCCCCAGTAGATCCAAAACTTTCCTTTTTCTTCAGTATCAACCTCAAATATAAATAGCAAATCTCAGATCTTATTTTAAGCACAACTGGGGTGGGAGGGACTAAATAAAATCAGTTTTAGACAGGCACAAGATGGGTCAAGTCATAGAAGGAAGGCAGAGCTTTGCCCACTCACACCCACTGATCATTTCTTTACCTGAATTGGCTGTAATTCTCCTCAAAAAGAACTCCTAATTCTGAATAAAATTAAATAATTACTTCTTTGTAATATATATTAGCCTCAAAAAGGTTATATTTTAAATCAGTCTGTTCCAGTATTAAAAGGTTGATCAAATTAAATAATAACTTTAATTTTTTTTTTTTAGGTTTAGGTTCAAGAAAGTTATACTTAAACCTGGTCTGTTCTGGTATTAAATGTACAGAACATTGTAAATATAGAAATATGGGCCCTTTTAATGTAACTTATATAAAATTCCTTCATAGAAGATGCTGAGAAATTTCAAGATGTTCTTCTGAGAGTGAAGAGAAATTAATCTCTATTTTCACAATCTACCCATAAAACAGCCAAGTTACATGGGGGGAAACAACAAAACTTTCCTCTGAACTTCCTGAGGTGTTTTTGTGCAAATTGAGAGGGAAAAAATAAGATTATTTTCATGTCAAGAAGCTGTGGGAGAAATCAGCTGGGCCACAGGTTTTCCTCACGTTCTCTGAGGAAACAGTGAATAAAAAACAGGAAAAAGACCCCAAAAATGAAATGTCAGCTTTCCAGAGTCCTTCTCCTCCCGTTCCAGGGACACTTCTGTGTCACCTGCCCCCCTTTCTCACGTGATAACCTTGGGATCAAGGAAAAAGCAGCTTTTCCAAGCAGGAAACAGAAATTTCATTTCTCTTCTGCCAATTTCCTTTCTCTTCTGCCCTGTTCTCGTGGCTTATCTGTGAGCACAGGGCAGCACTTTTCACACGCTGGATTCCTGTGGAATTCAGAAATCTCCCTTCCCTTGTGGGAGGATGGGGCATGATGAAACTGGAGAATCACAGCAGCCTCTGTGGAAGGCCAAGATGTGCTGAGTGCATTTCCTTGGGAGGATAAAGGAATTTTAAAATATTCTTTGCTATTCTCTGCTTTGCTTGCTATAAATCCATGTTGGGAATTCTTTTCTGGACAGGATTAAAGCTTGCTAGGAATTGATCAATTGTTTCTTTCTGAGTATTTTTAAAACAAACCATTTCTTTAAGGGTAAGTGGTTTCTTTTAGGGATTTTTGGGAAAACTTTCTTTTTTAAAAATAAGAATTTATGTCCATCAAAATGAACCAAGACAATGAAATCATTTAAGTAATTCAGTAATATCAACAACTGATTAAATTCCAGTTCAAACCAATTTTTTAAGATAAACGAAAATACCTGATTGATGTAAAACATTTTGAAGTGGTTTTCTCTTTGTGGGCACTCAAGTGTACATTTTGCCTAGAGCAACTGGGATTTTTGGGATCAAAAATCCTGGAAGTTGATGGAAAATTGTTTAATTCCTTCCTTTCTTAGGAACAGACTCTTTTGCAGGCTCTGAATGTGCATGTTGGGATCACTGTGGAAGCAAATTGGGCTGTCCCTGACTCAAGGATTGCACAGAAATCCTGGTAATAAAACAGAAGTTTGGGATGGACCATGGAAAAGTGGAATTTCTACCAGAATTCAGATCTCTCCATTCAGAGCTCCACATCCATATTGTTTATAACATTCCTCCTGCCTACAGCCCTCACAACTCCATTCCAGCAATACTTAAAGACTCTGAATTTTGAGCCCAGTCCCAGTGGATCAGCCTGAAGAGAGCCTACAACTTGTTCTTGGGAAAGGTTCATATTAAACTTTTGATGAGATGTATTAATGACTCCACTTTTTTCTTTCAGTCCTTGGTGTGAAAATTATCATGCAAAACCCACAGAAATTAAAAGCCAACGGAGAAACCTCTGCAAAACATCTGGAAATAGAACATGTGGCAAAAGAATGCTTGGTGATTGTTCTCCTGCAATTAAATGTTGCCTCCATCAATTAGAAAACACCCAATTTCTGACCAATTCAAAAGCCTGAGCAAGAGCCTTCATTCTCTTGTACTTATTCATTAAAAATGGGAATGCCCAGGTAGGATCCTGTCAGGTGAGCAGAATTACATGGATCCTAAAGAAGCATAATTGAATTATTTTGGGGAAAATTGGTTACAGCCTAAGCAGCTGAAGATTGAAAAGCTGCAGAGCACTGAGGACATGCAGGAATTCTGCAGCCCAAGGGAATTAACCAAGCAAAGGAGGAGGAACTGAGACATGAAGGACCCATTCAGTGCTTCCCAAAAATTCCTGGAGTGAGGCAGCACCAGGAGCACACGTGGACCCCGTGAGCCCACACAAGTGCCATGGCACAGAATCCTGGCATTCCTCACACTGGGGAGTTTACTGGGAGAGACTTCCAGCTCTCCTGGGGATGGGCCTCTGGAAAAAGAGCCAAATGAATCAGCAATGGGACTGCACTTCAGCAGTGCACTCAGAGCCTGCAGCTCTCACACCTTTCCCTCTCACACAGGAGCAGCAACCAATTTCACACAGCACTGTCTTGAGCTGTGAAATTTTAATTCATGTCCCAGCAGATTAGAATATCAATTACAAACCCCCAAATTGATTAGAATATCAATTACAAAAGGAGAAGTGTGAAGCTGCCCCCCACTAATAACACCCTTAAATTGATTTTTCCTCCTTGAAGTCTCATAAGTCTCATTGTGAAAAAAGCTTTTTTTTTTTTTTTACCTTTTCTGTGTTATATAGATAGGGATTTTGCATTCTGTTGCCACCTGTCCAGAGTGTAAATTCAGCATCCCACATGCACAGGGATAACACAGGGCTGACCAGAAACACCCCCAGGTACCTCTGCTATGGTCATTCTCATAGCACTGACAGGTGAGGGCTCAATCTCCACCAGCTGAACTGCATTAAAACTCTGGATGCAGGGAGTGCACAGGGATGAGAACACAGCAGCAAAGGTTAGAGAGGCAGAGCAAAGACACAGAAAGATTCTGCTCACTGTTACCAAGAACAACCTAAAATTTATCACAGAATATCCTGAGTTGGAAGGGACCCATCAGCACCCTCCTATCCTGCACAGACACCCCAACAATCCCACCCAAGAGCATTGTCCAAACATTTATTTATGGGAATAACTGACTCTTTCTGGAATAAAAATCAAAATCAGAGTTTGTCATAAGGGAAATACAAAGGAGAGCCAGTCAGAGATGTCAGGGTGACTGGGAAAGTCACCCTTATGCAGGTCTTGATCTGAATTACTTGAATGCAGATCAGGACTGCCTAAATCAGTTCAATAAAGAATTCAAGTCAGAAAAAGTTTATATGCCTCAAAGATCCAAACCTATTTTAAACAGCTGTTTCTTAAAATACCATCAGTAATGTCAATGGGACATCAAGAATCCACTTTAATCAAGGTGCTGTTTGGAAATGCACTTACATACTCTGATTCACCCACTTTTAATGTCATTAATGATTGCTTTGGAAGCAACACAGAAACCAAGATAAGATTCTTGCATATTATTTTGGAATGCAGTGTTTTAACAGTATTATTTTTAGTAACACTCTCTATATGTATCTCTAAGTATTCCTTGAGCAATTTAGGTGTACAGGGACACTTTCTTTGGCACAGCTGTAACCCAGTATTAGTGAATATTATGAGAATCTCACCAGCAGGATAAAAAGGCAAGAAAATTTAGTAGGAATTAGGTTGAAAGCAGTGAAACAGAGGACTGTTAGTCACAACCTGGAAGCCAAAAAAAAGATTCTGCTCTTTTGTGGATGATATAGACCTATTTGATGCTTTTTTTACCACCACCCCTTCTCCTGCAACCAGGCCACTCTCCCTTTCTTTCCCAAAAATACCAGCACGAGGTTAAACCAGACTGGGATACCAGCGATTCTCTTCCCCATTTAGAACAATCTGCTTTAAAACAGAGCAAGAGCAAGTGACTGCAGGGATTCACAGGGCTCTTACAGTGTCACTGTCACTGGGCTGGAACTGGAAAGGCTGAGGTTTGTGGAACACGGAGTTCTCCTGCAGGAACAGCTGGAGGTTGTAATCCCGCACCACCTGAGGAAAGAAAAAGGTTTATTTAGACTCCTTGTTTGGTGAACTGAAAAACAGCTGGAGAGCAAAACCTGCACAGTTTCCAATTGAGATTAAACCTGAAGCAGAAGTTTGGGTGCACCAGCAGGGAACTGAGGACCTGAGTTGTTCAGAGGTACTGGCAGGACACACAGGGGTAACAAGGACCTAAAATATCCCTGACATTTACCTACAAAATGGAGGAAAAACACCAACTACTGAATAGGTTGTCACTGCCATAAATATTTTCCCCTCCTCTTATGGGTAATTTCCTGTGCACTGCTCTTTCTTGAGATGAAAAGTCTTAATTTGGCAGAAATTATTAATTGTGGGAGCTGAAAAGACTTATTTGGAATAATGCATCCAAAATCAGTTACAAACTTCATCTCTCTTTATTAAATTGCTTTCAGAGAAAACTCTCCAAGCTTGCATTTTGCTGAAGCAAAACTCCTTCAGCTCCCAAATTTGTTTAATGATACGTTTCAGGCAGCATGACACAGATCCCTAAACAAACCTCTTATGTCACAATTTACACAGATTTACAAAGAAATACCCAGTGATTGCAAGATGAAAAAATAGGATCACTGGTTGAAGAACTCTTACAGAGCATTTACTGCCTCAATTGATGAAAATGCATCAAAATTATATCAATTTATTACCAAACTGGGGGTTTACATGTACAAAGGAGATAATAAAGATGGTATTTATTATCCAGAAATAGCAGCATTGTGCATGACCAAGAACTCTGTGCTGCGTGGACAATGGGAAATAAAACTTGTTCACTAAAGCAGCAAAATGTTGATGCTTGTGTTGCTGAAATACTGAACTGTAAAAAATTAATCTCCAGTTAAAGAAAGTAAATAGTCCTCCAGGGCCAATAACACACTCATCTAAACCAGAAAAGTACATAATTACTGCTCCAATTTGAGCAGTTGAACATAAACACGCTCAAATGGGGAGAAAACAGACAGGGATTTGCATCACGAATTCCCAGAAATAGAAATTCAGAAAATACTAAAGAAGGAAACATCTGCAGCTTCAGAGGATGCTCAGCACTGATCTGGCATCAAAATAATTTAATTTAAGCAGCTATTCCACTGAATTGTCCTTTAGATCCATGTGAACACTGACCATAGCACACAACCCTGGGCCATGCCAAATATGTGGAGCTATTTTAACTTCAATTAGGAAACCTCCCCCCAGAATGAAGTTACTGAGGATGTGGAAACCTCCACAGATATTTTTACGTGCTTTCCCCACAGAAATTTGACTCCCAAGCAAATCAGTTCAAAGCAGAAATCTCATTTTTCCAACATCACTCCTAGGAGATTTGCCCTCAAAGCCACAATAAGTGGTTAAAAATGAAAACAACTTTATCAGAACAGGAGGTCTGGGAGGATGTGCAAGCCCAGCACATGAAATCCTGCATTTGCACAAAATATTGGACACTTGATAAAAAAGATAATAAAAAGACTCCAAAGCAACACTGTATCCTTGGGATTAAGCTGCAACTTTTCCAAATAGATTTCCTGTTATTCAGTAATTAAATCAATGTTTTTACATGGTTTCTTTCTGAAGTCAATGTCAATTGACAGGTTACACCAGACCTGAAATCAAACATTGAATATACCCCATATGCAGAAACAAGGCACAGTTAGAGATGTGCATAAAGGAAATTATTTGCCCTCTTACCAGAAAACTCACAGAAATGTTACTCAAAACAGCAAATGGAATTTCAGAAAATATTCCAAAGAAAATCAGATTTTTTTTTTTCCAAAAGAGAGGTGCAAGAAGTACAAGTCTTGAGTAAGGTGTCTTGAAAGGGAACCTAAATTGTATTTTGATAAAATCACAGCCCCAGAGTGGTTTGGGTGGGAAAGGACCTAGAAAATCATCTTATTCCACCCCTTCTCATGGGCATCAGGGACAGATTCCACTGTCCCAGGCTGCTCCAAACCCTGTCCAGCCTGGCCTTGGACACTCCCAGGGATCCAGGGGCAGCCACAGCTTCTCTGGGCACCCTGTGCCAGGGCCTGCCCACCCTCACAGGGAACAATTCCTTCCCAAAATCCATTCTGAACCTGTCCCCTTTGGGGTCAGTGTTCCCATTCCAGTGTCAGAGGAATGACAATGGCCACCCTGACCCAGGAGTAATAAAATCTCCTAAGCTCCAACCAACAACGATAAAACTATGAAAAAACAGCATTTTATACACAAAATCTGTTTTTCAGCTGTTTCTCTCAATCTGCTTCACATGAGGTGACAGCCAGCCCTGCCCATCCAAGGAGCCATCCCTGGCACTTGTGTGAAGCAATTTGTGTCCTCCTAAAGCAAATACAATTTAATTCCATGCTGCAAACAGAAATGGAGTTCAGATGGAAGAGCAAAAATATTCCTCTATTCCTCCCAATGACCTGAAGTGTCTCTTTTAAGCAAAGCCTGCCAAGCTTGTACTGCAAACTAACAAAGAACAGGTGAAGCATTCAAAACCCCCAATAAATATTTAAAACCTTTGCTTTGATGACAGGTTTATTCTAAATTGCTACAAATTTATTACATGTTTAACAACTCAAGCTGCTTTTGAAAGACACGGATGGGTTTTGGTGGAGAGAAAATTGTTTTTTCTGGGTTCTTTTTTTTGGGGGGGCTGATTACTGCAACCTGTTATGGAAAGAAAGGATAAGCAAAGCCTGTGGAAAAATCCACCAGTCAATATATTCAGAGAAAAGCACATTTCTTCAGTAGCAAAGCAACACAAATTTGTCTTCTCCACATTCCTGAAGCACAAAGAGAGAAGCAAATGGAGTTGTAGAAACCAGTTGTAACAGCCCTGTTGAGACCTGCCAGCTGGATTTACACTTCTGTCCCTTCTGCAGGCATTGTGCCCATGGAATAAAACAAAAACACAGCTCACACACACAGCCTGACTTGGTGGTTGTTTAAAATCAGCCAGACCTGGAGCTCTCTGAAGCATCCCAACCTCAGCACACACAAATATCTGAGGAAAGGATTCCTGCTCCAAGGAAATGTTTGGATATGGCAGCTTAGAATTGGATCAAAGTCCCAAGCAGCAGCTCTCTGAGCATTCTGAACACAAAGGATCTGATACAACAGTGAAAAATTAATTATGCAGACATTATACAGAAGCCTGTTTAGCTGCAAGATTCCAAGCCAGCATTTCTGGGGAAGGTATTTGAAGCAGACCTGAATAATACACCCCAAGGTAAATTATTGAAACTCCTTCTACAACTGAAGAGAAAATGGTGTTTTGATTATTTTTACAGTTGCTGCCAAGTAAATTCAAAGCTGAAGGTGAAGCCCATTTTCATGCCCTCCCTTTAGATCTCTGAAGGTGTGAGATCACTTGCTTGGAGGTAAATAAGGAATGTGTTAAATAAGATCTCTGTGTGAATGAGCTCTGTTTCTGGGTGGGTGGGTAAGGGAAACGTAAAAAGGAGTATTATGACTGCACCAAAGCAGCTTTTTCTGAGCTCAATGGCAATTTTTTTTCCTTCTTTTAGCCCAGCAGATGAATTATTTAAGTATCAAAATCACCCTGGAAGCGATCACGCCTCTCTCAGTCTGGCAGCTCCACAAAGCAAACAAACCACGTCTACAACAGGGCTCTAATTTGTTTGCTGTGTTTGCCACTCTTAATTCCAGGGAGAAAACAGCCTAATAGCTTGGATTTTGAGTTGACAGACAATTATTAAGGAATGATCCAAGCAGTTTCCTGGGGCTTTGCTCCAGATTACACCCTGCAGAACCCTCAGCTGTAATTTCCCCTCCCAAACGTGGAGAGTGAGGAGAGCAGAGCATCTCTGGATGCACAAATGCAGTCAGGGGAAGGCAGTCTGGGTGCTAGAGGAAAAATTCTCCCCAAGAAAACTGTCTGGTGCCTTTGAACTTAACACCACTCAGGAGTAACCAAAAATAACAATCTTTCAGTTCTGTCATGATTTTGGAAGCAAATCTCAGGCCTGGGGATTTGTCCATGCTGCAAGGATTCAGTTACAAAGCATCATTCAGTTCAAACTTACCCTGCTGGAAGTCTCCAGTAAAAACTGGAATGTGTTTTGTACAGCTTGGCATGTCTCTAGTTCAGTCCTGCTGAATGCCATTAAATAATCCTTAAGGTGATCATATATATTTCCATCAAGAGCCTGCACAAGGGAAAGAAATAAAAAAAAAAAAATCAGGAAAAGCAGGAAGTATCTCTGTATACAATTTATCAGTATTCACCAAGAGACTTTCAAGATGCTCACACCATTTTTTTTTTAGCAGATTTACACCTGTGAGGAGTGGACAGAAAGAGAAGTGCAAGAAATCTTGAGTAAGACTGTTCAAGTGAAAAGGAACTTAAAATGCATTTTGATACAATCACAGCCCCAGACTGGTTTGGGTGGGAAGGGACCAAGAAAATCCCTCACTCCTGGCAGGAGGAATGACAGTGCTGGGCTCCATTAGATGGCAGCACAAAGCACCACAACAACATCCCAGCATCTCCATCCAGCTGTTCCCAGGGGCAGAGCAGCTCTGGAGCAGGGAAAATGCTCAGGGAGATGTCACGGAGGGCAAGGAAAATACCCAGAACTGCCAGGCCACGGGTGCTGCCAACCAGAGTATTCCTCAGGGAGTCGTGCCAGGACACTCAACATCTGGAGGGACACATCCCCAACTGTTTTGGGCACAGAGATACAAAACAAGGTACACAAATTTATCCCAAACATAGCAGTGACAGCGAAGTTCAAACCCCAAAGCTCTGTTGTGAGCAGAGCTGTAAAAACACATGATGTAAAACATCACACAGGGCAGGTTAAATGTTAGATATGACTGTATTAAATATGGCTTTGCAAGTGACGACAATGTCATTTAGATAGCTAACTCAGGATGTATTTTATATATATGTGATATAGATTTTTAGATAGGCCACATTTCACAGATATCCATTTAAACAGTGTATTCATGGAAATTCCATTCCATTCCAACACACTCAAGAATGTGCTTCTCTAGAAAATTGTATTTGATTATTTAAAACATTTTGCAAATTTGAGGGGGGGTGGGGAAAGAGTTGAAATTGTGCAGGACTCAAGGAATGGTTTCTGGCCCTGAAAAATCAAGCCCAGTGTTTAAGGTGAGGTGAAGAGACACAAAAAATCAAACACAAATCCTGGAAGTGTTGGACAGAGCTTGGAGCAGCCTGGGATAGTGGAAGGTGTTCCTGCCCATCACAAGGGTGGAACTGGATGAGCTTTTAGGTCCCTTCCAACCCAAACCATTGCATGGTTTCATGAAATCCCTCAGAAGTCAGGAAGAACAAAAGAGATCTTCCTTCTGCCAAGTTTTCCCAGCAGCACACAGCCACCTTCAGTGAGGGATGCTTTGGGGACATAATCAAATTGTGGGACTGGAATTCTCACATCCAAATTCTGATATCCCAAATCCACACCACACATTTCATCCTGCACCTTCCAAGTGTAAAGGAATTTTTAGCAGAGGCAGATTGTTTCCTCCAGCCTTACACATTAAACCTGCCTCAAACTTAGCACTTCTGTGGCCATCAGGAAGCCATTATCCAACCAGTGGCAAACTGGGAATTCCTTCCAAGCCCCCTCACTGTAGCTGGTGCACTCAGGGGTTCATTCAGGCTGGGATTGAGGTGTCAGCAGCCAGGGCAGCTCCTGGAGGCCCTGCCCCAGGAAGGACTTCCCAGAATGTCTGGGAAAGAGCTATAGGATAACTGCTCCAGCCTCCTGCCAGTGGTGTCAGCTCCACCAAACACTGTTATGTAGAATTTTAAAAAATTCTTATTTTAAGAGTTATGTTATACCAGCTTAGAGCCAATTGAGGAAAACATGAGGAAATTCCCAGCAACAAATCCACAGAAAGCAGGCAGCCAAACACAGACACAGGTTCAATTCTTGCCTGTGCTGCTGTGGGCACAGCTTTGCTGGGATTCACAGGATTTGAACATCCCCTGTGCTGAAGGGACACACGAGTGCCAGAGTCACCACCCCATTCCAAGGGCACTCATTTCACATCCAGTACAGGCAGCCCCAGCAGCAGCTCAGCCTTGTGCTCACAGAGAATACAAATGATGGGCAAAATTGCCAAGACTGCCTGTGCTCTCCCTGGGGGACCACGGGGAGCCTGAAACTCCCCCAAAACAGAACTGTCAACTTTTATCTGTTCCTAAAGCTTTTCAGCTCAAACACCAGGGCTGGAGTGCAACTCTGCTAAGAAATGTAAAGAAACCATTTCAATTTGGCAAAGCAATTCTAAGTGCTCAGTTTGCAAAGCAGCTGTGACTCTTTTCATCCCACGATGCCATAAAAGAGAATTTCACAGCTCCATATCAAACCCAAATGTTGTTTTTATGTCAACCCCCACACGAAGGGCTCGTGTCATTACATTTCAGTCTTAAATGCTGAGCTCTGCCTTGGGTTTTGACAGTCTGGGTGCACTGCAGAGCCAGTGGAGAGAAGTTGGTACTTGTGTGTTGTGATTGATCCCTCTCCAAGATAGATGGCTAAAATAGGTCAGCTGAAAGGCAGGATGCCAAGGGCCTATTGCTCTTCAGTGACCGTAAATAGTGCCCCCACAATTAGCTCACACAGACATGTCAGGCACACACAGCCCAGCCCCACACGTGTTCATTCCCTCCAATTATCATCCACACTGCACTGGGCATTAATTCATGTCCAGCTGCAGCCTGCACTTCAAGGAACAGTAAAGAAAAAAAAACAAAAACGGGGAGAAATATCAGAAATATCAACTTCATTATTTCCCCCCTCCTCCTGCAATGACCGCAGCTCTGCTGAGATGGCAGAAACCCCCACAGTGTGATATAAAAAATAAAGATATTTAAGAAAGGACATCAGAGCAAAGTGTGGCAAAACATCAGGGAGCACATGGGTCTGTCAGCATGTGAGAACTGCATTACAGCCTGGCTCCTTTCATTAATTAAAAGCAGTTTCAATATGATGAAGTTCTTAAATACTGATGAGAGCTGCCAGAACTGAAGTTCACTGCAATATCACACAGGCAAGGCTGAGAAAGCAGCCTCAACACAGGCTAAAAAGCACAGAAAAGGTGACATCCCATCAGCCACAGCATCAGAGAGCTGGCTGGTTCCAGACTTGCAATAATAATGGATTTATCCCTTCTATAAAATGGTAATTATTACATCGAACTGGATGTGTTCATATTAAAACAAAAGACTTGACTTGCTGAACTGTAGGATCTAAATTAACATTCACGTGGGGTTTTATCAGCTGAATCTCATTCACTTACAAACACTCTGACCCAAACCACTGAACATCATAGGTTTTGAAAGGAAAAGTCTTTTCAAAATTTCTCATCACACAACTTGGAGGGGAAACTGGGGAAAAAAAAAGAAAATCAAAAAACCCAACACCCATTATTCCTCTACAATGGCTTTTGTTCTCTTTCTGACTCTCCAGAGAGCACTAAATCACTTACTGTATTACAATCCCACTGAAAAACCTGTCTTTTTGTCAACTTCAAAAGGAAATCAAGGGTATTTTTTTAAAAAAACAAATCTGGCATCAAACCCAAGATAATACGAAGTTAAGTAGCACAAAATTACAATTTCCAAGGATAGAAAAAAGTCACTGTTTTTTCAGAAATCATTTCTTTACAGCAGAATTGCCATACTAAAAGTACAAAACTACTTCCCTTGTGTCCAAGCTTGAGAAGCTAAAAGCTGGAATTAGGGCTGAGAAGAGTTGAAGCTGTTAATAAACACAATGGACACACAACCGAATTAAAGCCTATTTTTAGAAGAAATCCTGTACATTAACTCAAACCAATAAAATTATATACAGAGGGAATGGGACTAGAACACTGTTCTGATTTCAATATCCAAGTTTCATGTACAACTTTGAGAGTTTTTCCCAGAAACAAAACTTCAGTCCCAGTTCAGATCATTTTCAGGAGAGTTTTTTTGTTTCAAGAGATGATACTAAACATTTTGGGAATTTAGCTTTAATCATTCTACATTCTATGAAAATTCTCTCAAAAGCAAATATGTAAATGACAGTATTTTAGCTATTATTAGGACATTTGGTTGCCTTTGAGAGGTTGTTACTTGTTTAAAATAACATACAACGTAGAACAGACCCTGTGTAGAATTTTCATCTTCATTTATGTGACTGACTTTGGTCTCTTCACTAAAACATTTACAGGTCTCAGCCACACTCCACTTAAAAATTACCATTTCAGTTTCTTGGAGAAGACAGAGAACAAGCTGAACTACTCTGTATTTTTTATTTTAAAAGCAAACAGAAATTAAAAATGGAAACTCTGCCCAACACAATGCAGAGCAGAGTTGTGTGAAGCCACCAAGGTGAGTTTTCCCTGTTGTCCCATTTATTTCTGAAATACTTCTTGTATTCTGTTCATGTTTGTCTTGCACAGAAACTCCTCAAATCTGTGCTGAAGCTCTGGGTAATAATTTTACACTTTAAATTCAGGTGTTCAAACTAAACCTCTCATTTAACCACCAGGCACCAAAACCAGTGCTAGGCTAAAAACCCTCAATTACAGGCACACTTGTGAAGCCATGTGGGTTTCACTGACTAATTCACACCAGTCTCATCTGAATCACCACTGCTAGAAACAATTTTGATATTTGCAAACATACATTTATGTTTTTATGCATTTTAAACTCCCTCACCCCACGCTTGTGACGAGAACCATCATCCTCAAACTAGGGGTGGAATGGGATTATCTTTAAGGTTCCTTGCAACTCAAACCACCCTATGGCTCTGTGAGATTAATTTTTCATTTCAAAACACCCATTCCTCCCTGAGCTGATGCCACCCAGCAGTTTTTGAGGGCTGATTTTGCCACCGAAATCCTTGGCAAAGGCTCCTCGAGCTGCCACCGCTGGGCCGGAAACAATAGAACTGATGTGGAAGGCAAGGAATTTCCTCACATGGGTGGAGGGAACAGCACAAAATTAGAGCTGACCCTCCCCTGTCTGGGCTGCAGCCTGAAAACAGAAAGATAAGGGGAAGAAATGAGCTGAACAAAAATCATTGTGTCTGTGGAGTGGTAACTTCTCTGTGGAGTCAATAGGATTGCATCCTGGTAATGTGAGTTGCTTTCCTGTTCAGCCCCCAAATCAAAAGGGAGATCT